CCCAGCGAGCAGGGCGCGGCCCCAGGGGGCAGCGGGCTCCTGCTCGTCTTTGTTTCCACAGCTGGACACACGCCAGCTACCGCAAAGCCCGTGAGCTCACTGAGGAAACTGAGGCTCCGGAAGGGTGGAGGGCGCCGGACCCCACTCTCCTGGCCAGGCGCAGAGGTCACCCCGGCGCGGTCTTCTCGGGCCGAGGCGACCGTCTGCGAGCCCGCGTGCTGGACGGGGCAAGGACAGACAGGCAGCAGCTCGGGCCCGGACGACGCCCCCGGGCCCGAGGCCCAGGGGCACCGAGCGGGGTGCAGGTGTTCTCCCCACAGACAGCGCTTGCTGGGCGCCTTGGCGGGCTCTGCCCGGCCTCCTCCTCGGTCCAGCTGAGTGACCCTGGTCAGCCCTGCTCGCTGGGGACGGCACGACGTCGCGGCTGCCCATCCCAGCGTGACGAGCCGGACTTCTCCCTCAGGCCCGGACGGGTCCAGGAAGCAGACCTGGCTCTGAACACCCCACAGTGACTAACAGGCTGCTCAAGTACGTCGGTGCAGACTTAAAAACGGAGCGGATGCCCAAATAACAGGCTGCGGGCTGGCACCCCAAAAACAGCGTCATGTGTGGCACAGGAGGCAGGTCTGCCTGCTGCCCTGGAAGCTTCTTTCACAGCTGGAAGCCTCCCCAGAGCCCCAGGCCCCTCCCCAGCAGCAGGAGTCTGGAGCGGGAGGTGGCCGTGCAGACTGGCGCAGGGCTGGCCAGCTGGTGGCCGCCTGGCCAGGGCCCAGCAGAGAAGCAGGCTGCCCGGGCCACCCCGCTTGCGACAAGATCACCACCCCGACCTGGCTGATCCCCGCACCAGCCTTAGCTACAAACGCGCACAGGTCAGCGTGGGGTGCGGAGCGGGGCAGGGGCTGCCCCCCCAGACAGGCCCGCGGTGGGCGGTGGGGGGTGGGGAGCGAGCTCCCCGGGACGCCCCGGGCCGGGCAAGCACTGACTGTACCTTTCAGTCCCACAACCACCCCGTCATCTTTGGACAATGTTCATCACCTGAGTAATCTGAAAAACAAATGCACCGCAGCACACACCATGCTGGGGGTGTGGGGGTGCTGGGCTCCGGCCTGGGGCCTTCCAGAGCCGGCGGGGTGAGGCCCCAGGGAGCTGGCAGTGCCCGCAGCGTGCTCTCTCTCTAAAAATTAAGTTCATCTTAAATACGTTTTCGAAGCACTAAATGTGAGGGACCGTGAGGGGCGGAGACCTGACATCAAACAGAGGCTGCGTCCACCTGGGGAGACGGCCACCCTCGAAGGCCCCCGGGGGAAACGGGCGGTCTCCTTCCAGAGCAACTGAAACGCCACCCCCGGGACCAGAGCCGGCTCCCAGGGACAGCAGGCCCAGCTCCGGTCTGTCCGCCCGCGTCCAGCTCACCCGCTGTCTCGGGGTGTCCAGGGAGACGCCCGCGCCCGGCGTCGGGAGCCTGAGCGCCCAGCGGCACCGCCCCAGGCCAACGAAGCCAGCGGTGCCGCACCAGGGGGCAGAGCCTGTGTCCTGAGGTTACTGAGCCGTAGACAGAGTCACAGGGACCCCCGAGCACCCCTGCAGCTCCCCCGAGCCCCCAGGAGACGGGACGCGCATCCCCCACGGCGATGGTCCCAGACACGCGGCAGGCAGCAGGGGCCAAGCTGGCCGAGCCCGGCCCTGACCGCCAGGGCTGCTCTCCGGTGCCCCGCCCCGCGGCTGAGGCTGAGGCCTGCGAGACCCCTGGGGACAGAGGCAGCTGTCATGGCCACCAAGTGTGACAGAACCGACACGCCGGCACCGAGCAGCCGTGGGGGCCAAAGCGGAAACCGAGGGGCCTTCCACCCTGGTCAAAAGCTGAAGTGACCCAAACTCGGTGGATCGTCCAAGCCACTGAAATGGCCACTTAAGCTGAACTTAGTTTGTGGAGAACTGGCTTTGGGGTCAGACGGAGGCGGTTCAAGTCCTGGCTCCCCACAGTGGGCTTGCTGTGACCCCCAATGGTGAACCACCCTCTGGGCTCCAGGGCCCCCTCTAAACGGCAGCCGTGACTGTGACCGCCTCAGCTGGAGGATGCACTGGGCACCCCGGCCTGGAGCCGCCACGCCAGACGCCCCCAGAAACAGGCCCCTCAGCTGTGTGGCCACCCTGTCCTGAGCCAACACCACGGGGAGGACCTGCCACACCAGAGGCGAATCCACGCTCAAACATCACCGCAGCTGGGGGCTCCTGACACCCCCTGAATCTGGGGCTCTCATGAACAGTGTACCCACTCCCAGGCCCAACTGGGCCAGCCGGCTCAGATCCCTGGGGGCGCGGCGGGGCTCCAGCCGTGCCCGGCCCCCCACTTCACCGCCCAGATGGAGCCCTTTCTCCAGGACGCTTTTGCATTAACCGGCTTCAGGTACCCGAACGTCCGAACGTCCAAACGTCCGAACGTCCGAACGTGCGAACGTCCGAACGTGCGAACGTCGCGGGCTCTGACTCCCCGACGAGTCCCGGCCCTCCCAGCCAGAACATTCGACTGGCTCGTGCCCTTCCCCTCCCCCGCGTCTGTGCAGGCCGGCGGCCAGGGCCCTGCAGGGTGGCCATACGCGGCCCAGGCGCGGCAGCGGCGGCCGGGGTCACTCACCAGCAGTGGGGCTTCTCTGCCGTCCAGGTCCGGC